TCCTAAAAGTGTCCTTTCTGTGGACTAGGCTTGCTCACAATGTGAGGCAAAGCCATCCAACTTTTTTTGTTGACTTGTAAGTATTCCCTTGAATTTACGTTCTCCCAGGGGTTTCCATGTGTACTCATCCTGGGAGCCCTCAGTTACTAACACTAAAACCTGGCACCTGGTTTTCTCAGGTGATGAGGTTTAAAGCATCCTGACCAGGCATGCCTTGTTCCAGTCTGGTCTAGCCCTGCCAGTGACAAATGGTATTCAGGTGGGTGTGAGAGATCATTGCTAAGTGTGTCTTTTCTTTCCCCTCGTCTTCAGTGCTTTCCCTCATGGTAATAGGTGCATTCACATGGCAGGGGTTTCCTACTCCAGCTTTTATCACAGCTGGCAATGGTGTGGGGCACAGGGAGGGAAGAGCATACTTGGAGTACCCACAATGAATAGCTGGGCTTTAATAAAAAGTGAAAGGTGAAAGGCCTGAGCCCCAAGGAAGGCGTTACAGAAAGAAGTTACTGCTCTGCCAAAGGTTTGGGGTTGGGTTTTGGTTTGATGATGGCATTGCTGGAGGGGAAGAGGAGAGTGAGGAGGAGTCCAAAGGTGGCACAACCAATTGCGAAGAGCATGTGCTTTTCCATCTTGCTGAGGCAGAGCTGATACTTGAATCTCTTAACCAGGTTAAGGTATAGGAAGGATGCATCCACTGTGCAGCAGCTCCAGATAAAAAGAGGAGACATGATTTCCCAAATTACTCTGGGAAACTGCTGTGTAATGTCATACAAGTTTAAAGACCTTGCAGGTGTAAAACAAACTGCTACTGAGAAAACTAATAGGGTTCACTGTTTCTCAGAATTGTCTGCTGCTTTCCCTTAGCCCAGGTCAGCTCCAACTAGCAGCAGCCCCGTGTCTGCCCCAACAATAGGTCTCCTAAAACAGGAGTTGCCGTATTTTTTAGTGGTTTTGGAGCTTATGACACATCGCTACCTTCTATGCTTTTGTCTTCTTAATGTGCCTGGTCTGGTAAAATACCAACTATTTGCAACTATAAAAGAAGACACAGAGAGCCTATGAGAAAATGGTCAAAATTCGCCATTAAAAATAATTTAAAAAAAAATCCCCTAAAAATGCTTTTCTTGTTTTTTCAAGCGAAACATTTGCTTTTCAGAGAAAAATTGAATACCAGAAAACAAAATTTTGCTTTGTATCTCTCTTCTTCCAGACTGTGTATATTCAATGAAATCTTTTTCCATGTCCATAAGAATCTAGTGAAAAACATCATATTAATTTTTCAGTCTGTTCTGCTAAGAATGCACTACATCTCTCAGGCTCTAAGTAGCCTAAGCACTGAATCTTCCCTTAAAAACCAGTAAGTTATAGTTGAGTTAATGTTAATTTTGCATTATGTAAATATCTAAATATCAGAACAGTCACCTATTGTAATTCCACAAGAGCAGGATTGAGTTACAATTTGAGCTGTTTCAGACAAACATTGGTTCAAAATTTTTGGATGATAGATACAGACACATTTTCAAGATATAAAGAATAAGCAGATGTAGGAGAGAGCAAATATGTTTGAACAAGGTGTTCAGTTGAATATAGTTATATTTTCAGCCTCCTCTTTACTATTAGTGCTTTGTCCCTAAATACAACTGCAGGTCCTCTCCTTGATATTAAGCATTGACTTCAGCTTCTGCTTGAACCATAAGAAAAGTGTAGATTTTCTGTTTTGAAAAGCGTTTGGTTCACAGATGTCTTATTCTGTGACCACAGCATCAAAATACAAGGGTGTTCAAAGAAAAGTAGAACATTTTCCAAAAAGATCTTTCCACACGTTATTCAAAGCTTATTTCACCATTGCTCAGAGAGTATCCCTGTTGCGTGATAGTTTTTTGGCGTGGGCCATAAAAAACACTGTGAATTGATTAGAGGCAAATTAGTCCTAGGCAGCTATAGAATCTCGTAGAACTTAAGAGAAAATTAAACTGTGCTGAGAGGGTTTATGTTTCTGACTATCCACAGCAATTGGGAAGAAGATCAAGGAACCTCATCCTTGTTTGCTTTTTTTATTAGAAACCTCCCTGCTTGGCTTCCCAGAGCTCTCTGGCCCTGTTACCACTTCAGCTGAGGCAGCAGGAGGGAGGGATAAGGAAAATCTTTGGTGGAAGTTTTCAGATCACAAACTATTTTCTCCCTGACTACAGGAACTGAGTTTCTATCCAGAGATACAGGCTTATTTCAGCTCACTTGGCCTCATGGATTAATTAAAAAATTGGCTCTAAACAAGCACCCAGAAAGGCAAGGAATTGGGACACCATCAATTTGGCATTGCAGAGCTGCAAGGAGGCACCCTTCATAGGAAGGCATCTTCCAGTCATTGGGCAGCAGCCATTTCAGGGGCTGGTCCTTCTAGCAAGACCTCACTATTAATATTGAATTGTACACCTAAGATAATCATAGAGCAGATGTTCATCCTGTCCACTGCTCATTTTATTGCTTTTTAGTTTATGTCATGCCCAAATGAGCTTTTTATTAGAGAGTACTTAATCGTGTTTGGACATGAATGTCCTCTGCCTCTGTTCCCTATTTTCTTTGAACACCTGTTTTTAGAAAATAATCTTTCCCTGAGACACGTGGAAAGGGAGTGATTTGCAAAGCCTTAGCTAGTGTAATTAAGAGCCAAGAGCAGCCAACATGAAAAAGCAACAGTGAAAAATACAGTCAATTATTAAACATAAATTACTCCATAATTAAGTCCAATTACCTCATAACAAAACGAGATGTTTCTCTTATCTATTACTTGGACAAAAGTCATACTGAGGGAGTTTACATGTGGCATATTGTTCCACTGAGAAGTTCATAACTCTGTGAAAGACTGTTTCACAGAAAAAAAAAAAAAAAAAAGGTTTAAGTAGGCTTAGATTCAAATGCTAGTCTCGGGGAAGCGATGTCTTCAGAGTACGTCCATATGAGGTATCTGAGCCAGTCTGCAAAAGGGATACTTCTACTTCCCTCCTCACCACCCAGCCTCCCCTGTCCCACTCCCTGTTTGTTGCAAAAAGTGCCTGTTCACCTCAGCCCCTTCGTCCAGACACATCGTCAGTAATTAGAAGGCAGGCAGGCTGGACATATTTTAGCAGCACAACTCGCTAGACCTTCAGAGCTGGTGCAAAGTCTTCGTAATTAGAAGAGCTGCACAGAGTTACAGCAGTTCCAGATAGAGAACACAGAGGTCAAAGAGCCAGATGGGCTACAAACATTCATTGATTTTACTGACTTTTGGTGTCTCTCTGGTCTGAGGTGGGGGCAAATATAAGCCCTGTTGAATATATATAAAAGGGATCTGTTGTGGGAGTTGTGTGTTGATTCTCTTAAGCTGCCTACAGTCAGGCTCAGAAACTCAGGGCGCTAATGAAGGTTATGTAAATGTCACCCCTAAAGTGTGCCATGAGCTGAAGGCAGCGAGTGGAGAAACGCTGACTCCTTCGCAGCTCACATGGACTTTAAAGTGCAAGCAATGAATATGAGTATTTACGTTATGGAGGGAGCTCAGAGACATCTCAGAAAAGAGGGCTGGAAAGGAGCACAAAGAAAAAGTGTTTGCATAAATCCCTCTCCTCTATGACTGTGTGGGGAGCTTCAGCTCTTAACTCGGTGCACTCTGAGTTGCACCTCGGGAAAACACCTCGCAGTTTGAAGAAGGTGGATGTGAGTAACCCACCCAGTGCATCCCCCTCTCTCCAGGAAGAACTGAGTGTCCTTGAAAGATGAAGGTATGAGCGGTCTGCCTTTCACTCCGAGCATAAGTTCGCTAACAGCTCTGAGTGCAGCCCCTCTGCACATCACCAGTCAACTAGAGATCCCGAGATGTAAGCAAACAGCACATCGCCAGCCCACAATAGGCACTAGTAAAACAGAAAACACTGCTTTTATCTTGCAGGGCAGCATTTATTCTTCTTGGTGTAATTATTTGTCATAAATGAAGTGAGCTAAAAAATTAGTTTTGTAATCCTTTATTGATCCATAAAATTTACTTCAAGGTTTAGCAGAGCAGAGACAAATGCTAATGCTGCTGTCTCTCTTGCCATTGAAAAAGTGCAAAGTACAGTTTGAAAAGAGAATAGCTAGGCCAGACTTGCCAACAAGACAAAACCTGCAGAGGCGGAAAGAGTTAGCCTTAGGAACAACGTACAGGTGTCTGTAGTTTTGTTTTCTGATGTCAGGAGGTGGAAGCCTCAGCACAAAATTCCCTCCCCTCCTGCCACAGACTCAGAGCCTGCACGCCCCTCATAACTCATTCCTGGTGCTCACAGACGGGGCCAGGGGTACCCGGCTGCTCGAGGCTGGTGCTTGTCCCGCAGCTGTGAGTGGCCATGGAGCCCCGCAGGCACCCCCGACCCCCTTCCCACTGGAGATGGCCGTAAAGCTTTCACCGTGTCTGGCAGTGGCCGGCTGTGTTGTACGCTTCACAGGCTTGTATTAGGGTTTAGAAAAGCTGAAAAAGTTTAAAATCACTGCTTACTGTTCTCCCGGGCAAAAAAAATGTACTTAGGACACCGGTGTCCGTTTACGGTACCCAAAGTTAACGACTGAAAGGCAGATGCAAAATAAGAGCTCAGCAAATATACTCATTTCTAACACAAGTTGACAGGTCCCTACCATAGTAAATTACCATCTGCCAGCTTCTTGTATCATTTGAAGGATAAAGTCAGCCTTTTCTAGATCCAGTAAAAAGATGAACCAAAGTGTTCATTTCAGAGAAATGCAGATGAGGAAATTAATCTCCTAATTCCACTCCTGCTGTGCAGTCTTATACATACAAAACCAAGTGGTGCCATGTTTCAGGTGCTTTGAAGGGTGAGATCTGCAGGAGAACATTAAAAAGATAAGAAATAACAACATATTCCTTAAAATACTGAGCTGGTGTCGCTTCAACGTGAAACAGGTGGCCTGATTCATTGCCCTCTATCACAGATAATGTCTAACGAGGGTTTCTCTCTGCTTCATTTCAGAACCACGACCGCACGTGCATCGCATGCAGAATCATCTACCGGTCAGATGAGCACCATCCTCCCATCTTACCCCCCAAGGCAGATCTGACTATAGGCCTGCATGGAGAGTGGGTGAGCCAGCGCTGCGAGGTGCGACCAGAGGTCCTTTTCCTCACCCGGCACTTCATCTTCCATGACAACAACAACACCTGGGAAGGTCACTACTACCACTACTCTGACCCCATCTGCAAGCACCCCACCTTCACCATCTATGCCAAGGGACGTTACAGCCGGGGAGTGCACTCATCCAAAGTGATGGGTGGCACAGAGTTTGTGTTCAAAGGTAAGGTGGTTCGCAACAGTGCAGGCAGAGGTGGGCGAGTAGTTACAGACCAGAGCAGTGTTCGCTCGTAACCATGTGATGGCTGATGGTTTCATTCTGTCGTCTTCCAGAGTTAGTAGTTTCTTGGGAAGTTCACAGGCATTGTGTGAATACCCACCCAACCTGTATAGCTGCATGGTATTTCGCACCGCTGAAGCAGTACTCATTTGAGGCAGGGATCTTTAAGTACAGCACAAGAAAGTAAGATTTCACATCACTAAGTCCTGGACTCCAGTGACCAAACTTCATGCATCTAAACAAAGTGTCTGAGATTAGATCTTTATCCTAGGGCTCCTTCAGCAGAGAGAAAAAAAGCACCTCGTGGGTTGAGGTAAGGACAGGGAGAGAACAAAATTAACATCACAGGCAAACCAGGCTTGACTTGGGGAAATTAGTTTAATTTATTACCAATCAAATTAGAGTAGGATAATGAGAAATAAAACCAAATCTTAAAATATCTTCCCCCTACCCCGCCCTTCTTCCTGGGCTCAGCTCTGCTCACGATTTTCTCTACCTCCTCCCTGCAGCAGCAC